CCCGGGTCGGCCAATATGCGCAGCCGCCTCGCGGCCGAGAGCGGCTCGCCAACCCGGGTCAGACGGAGGGGGTCTTCGCAGGATCCTGCAGGATCCAGTGCCCTGGCTGACCCCCGCTTGCATCGACCCTCGTCCCTTGAGCCCCGATTCGGCCTCCGGGGGCCCCTACCGGGCCTCGGGAGCGTCAAGAAACGACGCAGGAGGAAAAGCCGCTCCTGGGGAAGGGGTCCAGACCTCTGGGGGTCGGCGCGGTGAAAAAGATTACGACGTCGGGGGGCTGGGGCAGGCAGCGGTAGCTGGCCATCGCTCGGACGTCCATTCCCTGTGTTTTTGTTCGGTTTCGTGCGTGGTTTTTTCGCCAAATGATCAAGGATGCTCCTCGATGGTCCTCGCCGAGGAAAAACCGCACACGTCCACACGTCCGAGCGATGCCAAGGTAGGAGGCAGCGCCTGCCGCGGCCGCGGAGCGGCGGCGGCAGCAGTCGGGGCTCAAGAGACGGGGGTCACTGCAAACGGGGGTCAGCCAGAGCGCCGGATCTTGCAGGATCCTGCAGGGCCAGGGCTGCATGGACCCGCGTTTGGGTGCAGGATCCTGCAGGATTTTGCCGCAAGACCTGACTGACCGGGAGGGCAGGGGGGGCGGGCGGAGGAGGAGGAGGATGAGGAGGGAGGAGGAGGGAGGAGGAGGGAGGAAGAGGGAGGAGGAGGAGGCGGCGGAGGAGGAGGCGGCGGAGGAGGAGGAGGAGGAGGAGGAGGAGGAGGAGGAGGAGGAGGAGGGCCTACCGCGGAGCGGCGGCGGCAGCAGGACGGGGAGCTCTGGGGAGGGTCTGGGTGGCGCCGCTCCGAGGCACGTCCTGCCTCCCTGCGGGGCTGCACTGGGGCGCCGACTCTGGAGGCCCCGAGCCCAAGCGCCTGGTGCACCTCTTGGAGCGGGGGTTGCCACAGGTGCCCCTGGCCCCTGGTGCCCCCCCGCTTCTGGGGCCCACCGGGGCCTCGTGGACGGTGCTCTGGCGGCCCCGGGGAGCCTCTCCTTGGGAATCCCGGGGGGGGGGGGCACCTCGGGCCAGGGGCACCTCTGGCAGCACCCGACTTCGAGCGGCGAAGCTTGCTCCCGCCGGCCTCCGCCGGCGGGCCCTCCACCGTCCTGCCTCCCCCGGGGGCCTACCGTAACGCCCCTCCCCCCCTAGCCGTGCGGTTCCGGCGCCACTGCAGCGACCGCGCGCACGACGACGACGACGACGACGACGACGACGACGACGACGACGACGACGACGACGAGCGGAACGACGACGAGGACGAGCAGGACGACGACGACCACGACGACGACGACGACGACGACGACGACGACGACGACGACGCCGACGACGACGCCGACCGACCGACCGACCGACCGACCGACCGACCGACCGACCGACCGACCGACCGACGACCGACGAAGAGCGACGAGGAGTTTTGGCGAGCACATGCCTGCGAAGGCGTCGTTACCTCCACATTGCGTATGAGAGGTATGCTCCTTACCTCCCTCCTCCATCCTCGTCGTCGTCGTCGCTGTCGTCGTCGTCCTTCTCCTCCTATTGCTCTCTCTCCCTCTCTCCTAAGAACACCACAAGTGCCTGAGAGCACCGCAACTTGCCCGCGACCACCGCCCCCACGCGGATCTACATGCGAATCCCTATGAGGACTACTCCACTGGGGATCTCTATGCGCATCCCTATGCAGATCCCTACGCGGATGCCTATGTGGAAGCCTATGCGGATCCCTATGCGGATGCCTATGCGAATTACCATGCGGATCCCCATGCGGATCCGTATGCGGATCTCTTTGCGGATCCCTATGCAGATGCCTCTGGGGATCCTTATGCAGATCCCCACGCGGATCCCTATGAGGATCCCTAGCAGATACCTATGCGGATCTCTATAAGTGTCCCTGGGAATCCCGCTGCGAATCCCTATGCGGATCCCGATTTCTGTGCGAATGCCTGTGCGGATCCCTAGTCGGGTTCTTATGCGGATCCCTATGCGCACGGCGGCAGTGCCGGAGGCGCACTGGGGGCTGGAACGTTACGTTATGGGGGGGGTTCCATAACGCGCGTTATGGCCCAAGCAGTAAAGAAACACACTGCTGGAGGTGGGGGTGCACGACGAGGTCTTTCGCACAGGGAGGTATCTTGTGTGCAGAGTCGGGGTGCTCGGAGGTTCGGGGGCACACGAGGAGATCTTTTCCCCAATCCAGACCCCACACCCCTCCACCTCCTTCCTCGTCGGGGGCGAGGAAGGTAGGGGGAGAGAGAGAGATCGGGACAGGACTTCTGGCAGTAAAGAAAATCATGTGTATCAGCATTGTGGGGGCGTGCGTTGCGCTATCAAAGCCACGTTGAGGAACCTGAGCCTGCAGATGCCCTTGTGGAATTCACGCCAGATGTGGAACTCAGGCAAAGGAGCCCCAAAGGCAGACTCGGAGCACTGCTTGAGAGATTGCCTCGTCCAGGGCACGCGCTGTCAATCTGACTGCCTTTGCAAACACCAGAGGTGCATGCTCCTTGGAGGTCTCCAGAGGTCTCTGGAGGGTCAAAGAGGCCCAGAGAAGTTCAAAACCTCGACCCTCGACCTTCGAACCTCGACCCTCGAACCTCGATCTTCGAACCTCGATCCTCGAACCTCGACCCTCGAACCTCGATCCTCGATCCTCAAAACTGCGATCCTCGAACCTCGACCCTCGATCCTCGATCCTCATGGCGGTCTGCGCACCTACTGCAGCGCCAGGGCGGATCCCTGGAGGGCAGGCAGAACATCGAGCGCAAGATCTGCCAACCGCCGCGTGGGCAATCGATGATCACCCATGATCGACAGCGTTCACGACACGAGGCGAGCCAAAACCGTGATGCAAATATTCCGAGTGAGAAAGAGAGAAGAGAGAAGAGACAGAGAGAGAGAGAGAAAGAAACAGGCAGACAGACAGACAGACAGACAGACAGACAGACAGACAGACAGACAGACATATTGACTGACTGGCTGACTGACAGACAGACAGACAGACATATTGACTGACTGGCTGGCTGACTGACTGACAGACAGACAGGCAGGCAGGCAGACAGACAGGCAGGCAGGAAGGCAGGCAGACGGAAAGTCAGGCAGACAGACATTGACATTGACACTGACACAGACATTGACATTGACATTGACATTGACATTGACACAGACGCAGACAAAGACACAGACACAGATACGGACACAGACACGGACAGCGGCAGGCACACAAACGGACAGAAAGAAAGAGCAACGCGCAGGGCCTCCTCGCTGGAGACCACGCCTCCGACCAAGTCCTCGTCTGCGAGCCCGCTGCGGCTCCGCGCTGGGCCACCAGCAGCGGCGGCGCTGGCAGAGGGCAGGAGGAGGGGGGAAGAGCACAGGGGGGAGGAGGGAAGAGGGTGGGAGGGGCGAGAGAGGAGGGAGGCGGGGAGGAGGCCGGAGGGGGAAGAGGAGAGGTCAGGGGCAGGGGCAAGGGCAGAGGCAGGAGGGAAGCAGATGCCATGAGCGTGCTGGCAATTTCGGCAGGTCAAAGAGTGCATGCTGAACACATGCGTGTGTAGGGGCATCGACCATTCCGAATCACTCAGAGTCTCAGCTCATGGCTTTCCACTAGCGGCATCTACTGGATCGCATCGGCAATCAAGTTTGAACATCCAAGCCTGGGCACAGCAACATGATCTTGACCTGGAGAAAGTGACGCGCCAAGAGTCACGGCGTCGTGCCTCGTGTGAGCCGACAGGAGGGCCTGGTACCTGGGAGAATTGTCCGCCCGAGCAAGAACTGAAAGGCAGGCGCGAGGGGAATGCAGATGACGCTGTCGACACACCAGAGCAAAAGCCATCCACCTCGTGTATGCTCACCCTCTGTCACCAAACGACCCAAGCATCACGAGCCGATGCATGATGAATTTTGGCCAACGAATACCCAGGTGAAACGAATATCCAAATTCGAACCTCAGCACGTCCCTGTGCTTCAGGAGCGCGAAATACTCGGGCTGAGTGAGAGCGCCAACGACGTCACGTCGCTTGAGTACAAGCTCGCCGACGTGAACTACATGGAGATGGGCAATTGCGCGGCATGTGCTCCCACCCATGGCTGGTCCGCAAAATAGAATATAGTGCCAAAGAGACCAGATAAGCCTGAGCAAGACCAGCCACATTGGCTGCATGATGTATTCGTAAGTTCCTGGAGGGTATGTTCCCACGTTGCAGACGATGAAGACGCATAGCGAGGGTTAGTGGCAAGGAAGGTGGTGAGAGTCTGGGTACCAACCATCAGTCACCAGCGCCTGATGCCTATGACAGGATGTGTTGAGGAGGTTACGTCTCAGCCCCCTCCTACATGCAACGCTGTAACACTGAGCGCCGAGAAACGAGAAGGCGCTGTCCGCGAGTAATTACTGAACTTCGTAAGAACCCAGGGGGGATCGGGATACGGTTGCACGGGCTTGCAGATTCAATGGACCACTCCCTGGGCAAAGCCTGGGAGAAGCCGCCCAATTACCTTGCCAGTATCTGGTGCGCTGTCGTTGACAAGCTGACAATAGCAACCATCAGATGTGAAAGAGCTCTAGCCCTACAGGCGAAGACGCCTGACCTGGGCACCTTCCCCTCGTGGGATATGTAGCACACACCCCTCGGGAGATTACTCCTCTAGAGGCCTCCCAAATGAGCTCCGAGTACGCAGATGGGGTCAGAGCATCGCCCCGCATCGCCGATGCATTGCCTAGGTTATCGGCGATGAACAGGCGACGTCGGCGATCGGCGACGTTAGCGTGAAGAACATCGAACTCCGTATCAAGCTGCATCGCTCGGGCCGGGCGAAAGGGGGGGATAGCAAAGGGGGTGTTTGAGAATCAGCTCACGTAGCTGATTTTCCCGGCGCCTCCCAGCGTCGGGAGGCGGCCATGTATCGAGGAATGGGCCCGGCGGCGGGGCCGAAACCAGCTGCATGCAGCAGATTTCTTAACCCCCCCTTTCCCAATCCCCCCCTTTCGTCCGGCCCGAATCGCTGGTGCATCGGCGATCCGGCGCGATCCTCCCACCCTGGCCCCATCTGAGAGGCCTGGAGCCTCACTGCCCTGCGCAGGCTGGGCAGCAGGAGGGGAACTGGACACCCCCGGGGCCTCTCCGAGGACGGCGCTCTGACCAGCAACCCTGAGGGGATTCCGACCGCCGCGGCGAGGAGGAGGAGGAGGAGGAGGAGGAGGAGGAGGAGGAGGAGGAGGAGGAGGAGGAGGAGGAGGAGAGGGCCCAGAAAAGGAGGGTCCCAAAATCGCTGCGGTGACACACCAGGCGGTGACTCACCACGCGGTGGCCTCGACATACAGCGGAGGCCAGTCCACAAGAAACCTTCCACAAGAAACCCAAGCCTGCGACCCCAGGACGTCCATTGACTTTTGGTGTGGAGCGTCACGCTTTCCATCGCACAGCCATCGAAATCCAGGAAACCCAGGGCACCCTGGAGGCAAGCGGGGTGCTTCTTGGCATGGGCCTCCACTGCATCCCGAAGGACCCCACCGCACAGCCCGTCACTGCACCGCCCTGGACCTTGGAGGCCCCAGTTGCCCGAGGCGTCCTCGGAGAACGACCCGCGTCCCAGAGCCGTGCGTCCACACCGCCTCCCCACCGGCACGCCTCGCGTTGCGGTCCCCGCACCGCCTGGGGGCCGCCGAGAGAGGAGCCGGCGGCGAGCGCGGGGCGACGCAAGGGCCTGTGCAGGCCTCTGGACATCTGCCGGCTCAGCTTCGACTTCTTCACCTCGCGGGCCGCGCCGAGGGTCGAAGCCACGAGGGGAGAGGGAGGAGTTAGGAGGGACTGAGGAATGAGGAGATAGATTGAAGGCGGATGCGTTCCTACGCGCACGTGTGAAGGCGGAACACTAGGGCGAATACACGGCGGGCGAGGAGAGTGGCCACCCTTGAGCCAAACAGCGTCGAGAGCACCACTTCCCTGCACATGGAGGAGGGAGGAGGGAGGAGGGAGGAGGGAGGACGGAGGAGGGAGGAGGAGGGAGGGAGGTAGGAGGAGGAGGGAGGAGGGAAGAGGGAGGAGGGAGGAGGGAGGAGGGAGGTCGGTCGGTCGGTCGGTCGGATCGGGCTTTGAGGCGGCCCTCGTGCCGTGGAGGGAGGAGGGAAGAGGGGGAGGGGTGGGTGGAACCTGCAATCGGCGAGCTGGGAGGGAGAGGGAGGAGGAGGGAGGAGGGAGGAGGGGAGGGAGGAGGGAGGGAGGGAGGAGGGAGAGGAGGAGGGGAGGAGGGAGGAGGAGAGGAGGAGGAGGGAGGAGGGAGGAGGGAGGAGGAGGGAGGGGGGGATCACCTCGATCTCCGTGCAACGGCCGCGCGTGCGCGCCCGCGCCGCGCGGTGCGCTCTCGCGCTGCCCCCCGCCGCATCGAAGAGGGTCGGCCCTCGGGCCAGGCGGCGGGGCGCGGGGTAGGGGCATCCTCGCGAGACTGTGGGCGGCCAAGACAGGAGAACAAAGAGGGGGGGGAGGGGGAGGACAAGGAGGAGGAGGAGGAGGAGGAGGCACAGGACGAGCAGTAGGAGGAGAGAGAGAGAGAGAAGGAAGAGAGCGAGATGTGGAGGGGGCGGAGTATACCGACGACGATGACGAGGAGGAGGATCCGGGGAGGGGTGCGGAGGCAGGGGAGAAGAGGAGACAGGCAAGCTCCGAGAAAGGCAGGCGCAACTCGTTTCGAATACCACACGATTAGGCCTCAAGCAAGGTCTCGGCCTTGAGACGAGTTCTGCCAGACGCTGCTGCTGATGCCGTTCCTCCTTCTCCTCATCATCCTCCTCTTCCTCCTCATCCTCATCATCCTCCTCATCCTGATCATCCTAATGATCATCACCACCATCATCATTGTATTCAGCATCGTCGTCTTCACCACAACCACCAGCACCACAATCGTCCTCCTCCTCATCATCATCACCACCACCACAATTATCATCAACATCACCATCATCGTCGTCGTCGTCGTCGCCGCCACCGTCGTCGTCGTCGTCGTCGCCGTCGGCGTCGTCATCCTCGTGACCCAGAAGAGGGTACAGCTGAAAGGAGGTGGTGCAATAGATTTGGGACAGTTGTATTGCAGATGTATTGCGCCAGAGAATATTGTTGCATCGGGCTGCAACTAAAGTCTTGCACATTTGCGCACTGGAATGCATTGAACACCCAAAACCTATTGCAACCCCACACATCTGTTGCACCAAATCTAATGACCATCCCCTTTTCGCTGGACCCCCTTTTGGGTCAACCAAACATCATCAGCAGCATCATCATAGCAGTCCTGCTCATCATCTTCGTCACCACGTCAATACCTATTTCATCCACACCCCTTCTGCGTATGGTTATCACACCTCCCTCCCTCCCTCCACCCCTCATCATCATCTCCCCTCCTGCTCCAACGCATCCCCCCCTCATCCATCCATCCTTCCATCCATCCATCCATCCATCCATCCATGCTCCTCCTCATCATCCCCCCAACCTCACTCCTCCACCCTCATCATCATCCCACCTCACCTTCTTGTAATCTTTAATAGTCGCATCATGGGTGTGATTACGAGTCCTCATCGACTTACATGAATCGTTTGAGCGCTCACCGAACGTGATTACGTGATCATCTACTTCGCAAATGTTCGGGATCTGGGCGCCCACCCAGCCATCGGACCGTTAAAAAAAAATACCCCGAAAACCTATCCCGCTGAAATGGTCCAGACCTCCAGGGGCTCACATTGTCACGACGTCGGAGATCTGGGTCCACCATCACTCCTCATCCTTCCCCCATCTCGCTCCCCCACTGCCCCCTCCCCCCCCCCCTCCCTCTCCTCCTCTTACCCTCCTTCCTCCTCTTCCTCCTCCTCCTCCTCCATCCCTCTTCCTTGGCGGGCCGGGCGTTTCGCTGGAGACTTCCTCTCCATTGATGATCCGGAAGCTTGATATTTGCAACAATTGCACGGATGGGGGATAGGTCCTTTTCAAAAGTTGGCTCTCCCCTTAGCGCCGCGCTCAATCGTCTGAAAAGTCTACAACCGCTTCACACATGGAGGGCGGATGGCTTTCAAAATGTGGCTCTCGCCTTAGCGCCGCGCACGTTCGTCTCAAAAGTTCGCAACAGCTTCACGGATGGAGGGCAGCTTCATTGTCAAAATGTTGCTCTCGCTACAGCGCCACGCACATTCGTCCTTAAAGTTCGCAACCGTTTCACAAATGGAGCGCAGGTGGTTTTCAGAATTCGGTTTTAGCCTTAGCGCCGGGAACGGTGGCTGTAAAGGTCCGCAGCAACTTCGAGCATGGAGGGCGGTTATGTTTGAAAACGTGGCTCTCGCTTTAGCGCCGCGCACGCGTTCGTTTAAAGTCTGCGACAAGTTTAAGAAATCGTATCGCTGCAGTCACAGGAACGGCTTTCTGGCACGACCCTACTCCAACTACTAATACAGCCACTACAACTACTACTACAACTACTACTACTACTACTACCACCACAACTACTACTACTACTACTACTACTACTACTACTACTACTACTACTACTACTACTACTACTACTACTACTACTACTACTACTACTACTACTACTACTACTACTACTACTACTACTACTACTACTACTACTACTACTACTACTACTACTACTACTACTACTACTACTACTACTACTACTACTACTACTACTACTACTACTACTACTACTACTACTACTACTACTACTACTACTACTACTACTACTACTACTACTACTACTACTACTACTACTACTACTACTACTACTACTACTACTACTACTACTAACTACTACTACTACTACTACTACTACTACTACTATTCCTACGAACACTA